GCAGTGGCAGAGAGGTGAGAACTGCCCAGCTGAGCCCCGAATACTATAACACGTAACTGAGCAAGACATGAACCATGTGTATTTCACACACTGCTGAACCCCCAGTGCTAAGCACCATATACAACAGATGATTAAAAAATGTTTGTTGAAACACCAAGTTGGTATTAAAGCCTAGGATCTGCCCAAATCCAAAGTGAAGAATCTCTCCTATTGCACCACGGAATTCAGGGTTGAAGTGAAGCTCTAAGGCCTAACCCTCACTGAGCCATGATTCCTTTAAAATATAAAAGAAGAAAGGAGGGGAGGGAATCTCCTGTTTAAGGCTACTGTATGGTTTAAACTTTTTAAGGCTACTGTAAGAAGCTCTGGTAGTGTGGTTATGAATCGGGCTGTGAACCTTAAGGTCAGCAGTTCAAAACTACCAGCCGCTCCACAGGAGAAAGATGAGGCTTTCTGCTCCCGTAAAGATTTACAGCCTCAGAAATCCTGGATCGCTATGGGTTGGAACCCACTCGAGTGCACTTAACAACAATGGTTTAAACTGGTACTTCTCAAACTTTCCTATGCACATGAACCACTCACAGATGCTGTTAGAGTGTAGATTCTGTTGGTCTGGGTGGGGTCGGAGATCCTGCATTTCTTCACAAGCTCCCAGGTGGGGTCAAGGTTGCTGGTTGTGGATTCCACACTGAGTATCAAGGGTCTGAGCGAGCTAAAAAGCCCTTAGCCTCTCAGCACAGTGCTACAGGAATTAAGTGTCGGGCTGCTAACTGGAACATCAGTGACTCAAAGCCACCAGACACTCCAAAGGAGAAAGAAAGATGAGGCAGTCTCAGAAACCCTAAGGACTCTGTCCTATAGAGTCACAGTAGGATAAGCACTGAACTGTAAGGTCAGTTTGAAATGCATGGTTGGCGGTTCAAACCCACCAGCTGCTCCTCAGAAACTCTATACAGGGTCGCTCTGAGTTGGAACTGGCTCAATGGCACTGAACAACACAGGGTCATTATGAGTCAAAATCAATTCAGTGGTAGTGGGTTTACTTTGGTTTGGGGTTTCCCTATTCTTTCCCGGTATTATAGGGAGGTAAAGCCAGAGAGGAGCGCTTAATCTGACATTATGTGAGACCCAGGGCAGACCTTACCCTTTCATAAGATACAGTGCTAAGTGCTGAACCCGTACAATAACAAGACACAGCGCTGAGTACCTACCACAAACAAGACACACATACCGAGTACTGACCCCATTAAAAGCAGCAAGGTACCTACCAGTCAGGGCCTACTGTTTACTGAGCCCTGTCTCACCTGGGTCTTGCCTTAGAGAACTTACATCAAAACACAAAGCAGATACTGAGCCAAGACCCTGTCCTTCAGCAGGTAACAGCCAAATGGAGCAAAATGGTTTTACAGAATGGTCGAATTTACCCTTGAATGTAAATTCAAAAGCCAAATTCCAAGAATCTGAACTTACATTCCAATCCCTGCTCTATTATGGATACACTGGCCGGGTACAAAACAGACACCTTAGAAATGCCAGTTCCCCTTCCTTGCCCTTCACAGAAAGAGAGAAGACCTGAAAATGGAAAGGAGAAAGTCTAGAAGTTCAAAACTAAAGGAATGTTCTTTCTAGATTAGGGCTGAGACACCTTTTTCTGTAAGGGGCCCAAGAGTCAATATTTTAGGCTTTGTGGACCATCCAGTTTCTTTCAGCAACTAATCAACTTTGCCTTGGTAGTGTGAGAGACAACAAATAAATGGATGTGACTGTGTTTCAATAAAACTTTATTCACGGGCCAGATCTGGTCCATGAGCTAATCCTTGGTCTAGACTCTAGATTGCAATGAAGCCAATGGCAAATTCACTGAGTTACTGAAAAGGAAAACAACAGGGGGGCAGACTGGCTAGACCAGGAGTGCCAGCCACAGAGACCTCTGCCCAGCCTGTGGCCTAGTGTCAGATGTCACCAGCCTTACACCCAAGTTCACATCTGCTGCAAACAACAGTGCTTCCCATGCCTGTCAAGAGACCAGGGGTGAGGTGGAAGCAGGGCTGTGAGACACCAAGGGAAGACAGGATTCCTGAAAATCATGAGATAGGGACTGGGGAGAAGAGCCTCCAGCCCCAGGAACCTGAGGCACATGAAGTGAGCCCTGGTCCTCAGCACTGGGGATGTCACTTGTTCAGTGGGCGTGCCTTCTCCACAGGACAGCCTGGCATTTCATTAGCATTCCCCAGTGATGACAGCCTGCTACCACACACCCACAGGCACTGCTGAACAACATCAACAGCCACCATAAACACTGGAGCCCCACCTCTGTGAGAGGAATGGGGGAGGGGGGGCCAGGAGCACAATGGCTGTTTCAGGCATGGCCCATGTTAGTGTGAACGTTAAGACACACACCAACACTCACATATGCACACATTCACACAGGTACACACACACACACACAAACATACAACCTAAGGACACACAGGGAGACACACACAAGCACAATACATACATACACACACACACACACACAAATAGCCACATGGACACAAACACACATGTCGACACGCATAAACACTTGTGCACAAATATTCCTGAAAATAAATGTGTGTAACACAGGTTCACATACAATAATACGCATGAGGATGTGCCCACACACATGAAAATAGACATGCATCTGCACACACATGCACAACCATGTGATACACACCCAAATACATGCATACAAGCACATATATACACATGTGCACAAGCACACAGAAACAAACAAGCACACACATACACGTTTTGCTCAGTTTTTCACACCAGTTGCTCTGTGAGCAGAGAGCCTCTTAGAACACACAGAGCGGTTTCTCAGAATCTCCCAGCTACAATCACTCTCCTCCTCCGTACCAGCTCCCACAGGTTCACCTCCCACAGACCACAGCAGCTGAAACCTGCTCCCAATGCACTGTCGCCAAGTGACAGCTGCCTAACCATGAACAAAGAGTCTCTAAGAAACGTCCCAAAACTTTCGTCCATAATCAGAACAACATGTGAACCCTTCATCAGGCTGCAGGTTGACTGTTCCGACCTTTCGTCCTCCATCTTTTGTCCCTCTTGCTCCCCTTGCAGGCTCCAGCCCCATAGGCCTCCCTGCTGCTCCCTGCTCCCGAAGGGGGCCTCCACCCTTGCTGGCCTCCAGGTCTCTGGTCATAATACAGTTGTCTCAGGGAGGCCTCTGACCTCCCTCGTTGTAAATGACATACAGCCCCCAACCACTGTTCTCTATTTCCTTACCTGCTTCCTTCTTCTCAGCTTTTACCACCAGCTGACATATACTTAGGAGTCCATGGGTCTAGCATATGACAAATGCTAACCGTGAGGCTGGAGGTTCAAGTCCACTCAGAAGTTTTGCTGTCCCTCAGGTTACTTCCACTGGCTAAATCATCCTTATGTAACTGACAGGGTGGCCTTGTAAGTCTAAAGTCTTGGCAAATAGCCACTTGTGTTCACCACAGCCATTCAAAACCCCTGCCTCCCACCAGTGTCTGTGGGTGTATGGTAGCAGGCTGCCACTACTGGGGAAGGCTAATGAAATGCCAGGCTGTCCTGTGGAGAAGGCACGCCCACTGAACAAGTGACATCCCCAGTGCTGAGGACCAGGGCTCTGAAATGAGCTGAGCTGGGGGCCCTTTCAGTCCCTGGGTTCGGCAAATGGCTAATGCTAACTGAAAGTTTGGAGACTCAAGTCCACCTCAGAAGAAAGACCTGGTGATCTACTGCCGGGAAAATCAGCCGTTGAAACCCTGTGGAGCACAGTTCTACTCTGAGTCACAAGGGGGTGCCATGAGTTGGGGCTGACTCCGTGGCAATTCGGTTGGTTTTGCGATGTTTTTTGACATAGGTTTGATTCCCGAGTTGTTTGTGTCCTCCACAACAACGAACACCTCAAGTGAGCAGGGTCTCTGCTTGCCTCGCAGTTTGTTTTGGTTCCAGTGTCTGAGACTGGTCCATGGCTCCTGGTAGTATTCACGGTGTTTGTGGGAAGGAGGGGAGGAAACAGAAAAGCGGGAGGAAGGGAAGGGGAGAAAAGGGGAGAGAAAGCAGAGAAGAGAGAAGAAGTAGGGAGGGAGAGGAAGGGAGGAGAGTTGAGGGCAATAGTAACTGTGTCCACTCTGGCTCTACGAGCAGCAGAGTGGCCAGGACTAGCCAGCTTGCCTTGCCGGTATCCCTTTTGTCCATACAAGATTTTCCTGATACTGAAAGAACAGACTCAGGGTCTCACACTTGACTTCCTCAGGCACGTACATATAAGTCACAAAGCACTACAAGGACAATTCTCCTCAGCTCTGCTGAAGGGGACGCATGCTTTGCTGTCTGACACCTCACTTCCATTTGCTAAACCATCCTTATGTAACTTCTGAAGGGATGGCCTTGTAAGTCGAAAGTTCTGGCAAGCAGCCACTTGTGTTCACCACAGCCATAAAACCCCTGCCTCCCACACCAGGAGTGGGGGAGATGAGGGGAAGTCCACTGGTCCTGTCACCGTCTAGGATCATCCCCCATAGGTCGGTCTCCCTAACAAACTCCTTTGCTGCCACCCTGGAGTTGCTGCTTCTCCCTTCAGTCACGGAGTCCTTCAGGTTTGTAGACAGATTCCGAGTTACTCATCCATGCATTGCTGCCATGTGGGATGCTAGCCCTAAAGCCGTCAAAACTCCTGATTTTCTAGAAAATCTGGACAGTTGGAATTTACGTAATATCCTGACTTCTGAAAGTTCACTGGTGTTTTCTAACATCACCATGCCAACCGCAGGAGATATGCCTTTAGCCTGTGTTTCTGTCTACTAAGGCCATTTCTGGGAGGATGGGAGGAGATCCTCAATGGATGATTCTGGCTCAGAATAAGTACCCAACGAACGTTAGCAAAAACGGCGTCACATTTCTCTCAAGCTCCTCACGCACACGTGCGCGCACACACACCCTTCATCTCTGTCTCTCGATGACATGTGTTTTGTGGTCACACTTACAGTGTCGTTGATGGTCTCACAGAACAGGGGCGAGCGGTCGGAGAGACAGGACAACACAAGCTGAACCAGTACCAGGGAAAAGTAAATGTAGAAAGTGACATCGCGAAACACATCCACTTGGGTATCCTAAAGGGGAGGAGAGGAGAGAGGAGAAGGTCACTTTCTGGAAGCAGCTTGCCGAAGTCGGGAGAAAAGGGTGGAGATGTGTCAGTGATGAAGTTTCTCTGGCATCCCACCTCCCCTGGGAAGAAAGGCAATCAATCATATGAAGGCAGGGTCCCCCTCAACTCTCTTCCACCTGGTAAGGGAGCCCCACGAGGTGGGAGGAAGCCTGAGTCTGGGAGTGAAACAGACCCAAGTTCAATGCCTGGCTCTGCTCTCACTGGCTGCGGGATCTTGTCATCTTACGTAATCGCTCTGGGTCTATGTCTCCTCATCTATAAAAAGACATAGCTCTTAGGTCCTAACCAGAGGCTGTCTTGCCTCGTAGGGGACAAAGATGCTTCTTAAGAGGCAGTAATGGTGAGACTTCCTGTCATGTCCTTTGGACATGTCATCAGGAGGGACCAGTTCCCTCGAGAAGAACATCAGGCTTGGTAAAGTGGAGGTTCCATAAAAGAGAGAAAGGCCCCCAGTGAGACGGACTGACAGAGTGGCAGCAACAATGGGCTCCAACAGCACGACTGTGTTCTGGTGTAGGACCGGGCAGTGTTGTGCTCTGTTGTGCGTAGGATCACTATGAGTCGTACCAGACCAGACATCATAACTGACTCCTAGGGGACACTGGGCAGTATCTGAAGACATGTTTGGTTGTCACAGCTTGGGTAGTGTAGGGAGGCTGTTGGATAAAGGCCAGGGATGTTGCTTAATACCCAACAATGCTCAGTACAGACCCTCACAGCAAAACAATGATACAGCTTAAAACATCAACAGCACTCACTCCTAACCTTCTAAGAGTAACTGTGAGAAGTCAACAAAGTTTTTCATAAAAACACGTAGCCCCCTGCCTAGTGCTTTATAAACAAGAGCTTAATTAACACCAGCTCCCACCACTAAGAAAGGGCATACTGAGAGGCAGTCTATGCTGTAGACTACAGGTGCTCAACCAATGCTCAGCTTCATTTCCTCCCGTTGCTACCTGCCTGAGCTCAAAGACAACAAGGGAGAGAAGATGGGTTCTGCAAGTGCACGCTCTTCAAAATGACCAGAGCAGCGCATGTCAGTCCATGTAAACAGGGTCACCACCAGCCAGAGAAGCAGCTGATAGCACAGAGGCCATGTGGGGACAGACCTAGGTCCCCTAGGGGAACGGCCACTCCAAACACGGTTTCCACTGGGCTCCACTCCAAACTCAAGATGCTTGGAGCACCTCGCCTTGCTGTTTGCTGCTCAAAGAAATTCAAGTGTGGTGTGCAGCATTTGCCCACAACCCCTCAAGAGATCCCCAAGGGCCCTTGGAGCTACACATATACTTGGAGCCCTCAGTAAAGAAGGTCCTAGAACAAAGGCTGGACCCACCTTCATGAAGATCTGGTGGTGGAGGAAAATCCCCAGGGAAGAAGCCAGGCCCATGTGGTATCCAACTCTTGGTTCCCATGGTAATGCGTGATCTCTACAGACATGGAAAGATGCAGAGCGAGACCATCACTTACCTCTTTTAAGGCAGTCATGATTTTGGATCTTAAGATGGCAGCTGCACACAGTAGGGCTACCAGCCAGAAAGTGAGCATGATCCCGGAGGACTGGACTCCCTTCCTTCTCTCCAGCTGGATTAGGAAGGTAGCAAGCAGCTGGAAGAGAGAAGTGCACAAAAAAAGTGGTTAGGAGTCTCGCTGGTCCAAGACCTGCCTCAGAAGCTCCCTCGTACCTCGCGGGGTGACTCAGGGCAGGGCACAGACTCTCTGCAGGCCTCCACTGTGATGGTACCACCTGTCAGAATGTAAGGAGCCTGTGTAGAGAGCTGGGAAACCATGGATAAGTCAGGAGAATGTGCTGTCTGGTACCGGGATTGGCAAGTTGGTTCTCAAAGGACTGCAGAGAAAATACCATTGCCTTTGCTAGCCATATGGTCTCCGTCACTACTCAGCTCTGTCCTTGTGAAGAGTGGAAGCAGCCACAACCTACGTCAATGAATGGGTGTGGTTGTATTTTGTAAATAAAGCCTTATTTATCAAACTAGGCAGAGGCTGGTCTCTAGATAGCAGTTTTCCAACCCTTGATTTACAGTTGGAAAGACCATGTCCCAGGCATGACCATTCCTGGTTATTCTCTTTCACATGATAATGCTAACTGCTCTCTTCTCTTCAGCATCTGCTAAAGGAGCCTTGGTGGCACTGTGGGTTAGGCAATGGGCTGCTAGCCAGAAGGTTGGCAGTTCAAAACCACTCACCACTCTATAAGAGACAGATGGGGCTGTCTTGCTTCTGTAGATTTATAGTCTTGGAAACTGTGTATAGGGTTGCTATGAGCTGAAATCAACTCGATGGCAGTGGGTTTGGATTGATAACTTGCTGAACAAACAATTCTCTGCCTGCACAGACTCATTCATACCACCCCTACCAGTCCCTAAGACGGCTCCCGCTGGGCTGAAATAAAGACTCATTGAGAGACGTTCATCTACCTAAGGCAAGGGTGGAGAACGTCTGGCCCACAGGCCATATAAGGCCCTCAAATTCATTTATTCTGGTCCTGTAAAGGCAACTGCAGTTCCAACCATCACATTATAGCAGGCTAATTTTTAAGTTGATGAATTTTATATGGCCCACGAATGGTGCTACACATACCCAAAGGGCCCTTGGTAGAAAAAATGTTCCCCACTACTGACCTTAAGGGCACTCGTTTTGTCTTAAAGGCACTTTATTAGAAAGGTGGTCTAGAAATTGGATCTCATTCCGGATGCTCAGGGCTGCTACTTTCACACTGTTGTTGTTGCTGTTAAGTTGGTTTTGACTCATAGTGACTCTATATAGGGTTTCCAAGGAGTAGCTGGTGAGCTTGAACCGTCAACCTTGTGGTTCAAACCACTTTTGCAGTCCAGCACATTCACCTGCAGCACAACACCATAACTCCTACTTTCACATGACACCACATGTAATAATCACAGAGAAAAAATGAACAACAAAACTGCTTTTCCTTGAAGGATAGTGAAAACCCCATGGAGAGAGCCCGGACGTTCACTAGGTGAACAGCCTAGGCTGGTACTGAGCCAGACTCCTGGGGACCCACCCACTCCCAGTCTGTCCCTCACTCCCCAGCGGTTCTAGTGAGAAACCTGCCTGTCCCTCTGTCTCCATCCTCCTACCCTACATACCCAAGCCACCAGTCATTTCACCTGGCTCTGCGCCCCCTGCTGACCTGATACTCCCTCCACCCAGATGCCTACTGGCCCCTTGGCTCCCACTCCTGCGTGCCCCTCCACCACACACACACACACACAATCTCATGTCCACTCGAGAGGCCAGAGTCAGTTTTTGGAAATGCCGGAATGTCAGACTGCAGAGATGCCATGCCTTGACTCAAAACCTTGCTGTTGAGGACTGGGGTTTTAACCTGGAGTCCAGGGATCCGTGAACTCGGGAAGGAAAGAATGACATCAGCACAATTACGAATGCAGTTAGCTGGCTACACGAGACTCCACAGTACCTAACACTCTGCCATAACTGAAATCAGAGATGTTATCACATCAACCAGTAACCCAGCCGCCACTGCCTACAAGCGAAGGAGTTACCAGATGCACCGCTGGAGGTGCATTAATGCATTAATGCTGTTGCCAAGAGGGGCAGCAAAGAAGAGGGAGACCCCCAAAGAGATGGACTGACACAGTGGCAGCAGGAATGGGCTCAAGTGTAACAACAATTGTGAGGATGGTGCAGAACTATCAAGTGGAAGTAACTCAACAGCAACAATGTACTTAAACAGGTGGACTTTCCTGTATGTAAATTAGACCTCAAGTAGAAATGTAAACGTATATACCGAAATCACATAGATAGGAATGCATGTTCATGCATCTCACACAGGCTGACAACACAAGTCAGAATCAACTCGATGGCAAGTAGCGTAGGAGTCTCTGGAAGGTGCAACGAGGGAGTGACAATGCACTCCGCTGTTAACTGAGATGTTGCAGGTTCAAGATCATTCAGAAGTGCCTCGGAAGAACAGCCTAGCTGTGACTGAAACCCTATGTCAAGGATAAAACACAGCTGAATGAGACGAAAGAAGACTGAACTAAATGAAAAGATATTCCACGATCATGGACTGGAAGACTTAACATTGTTGGCGTATCTACTCTACCCAAAGCATCTACGGATCGGACACAATCCCAGTCACAATTCCAGCAGCCTTCTTGACAGGAGTGGAAAAACCCATCCTCAGCTTCATATGGACTGGACATAATAGAGAGAAACACCGGACAGCTAAAGTTGCTGCAACGTTGAAAGGGAAGGACTAAATTTGGATGAGTCACACTTCCTGATTTTAAAACATATCATACACCTACAGTGAACCTGGAGTTCTGGGATTACGTGCTGGACTGCAAAGTCAATTGAATTGCAAGCCACTCCTCGGAAACCCTACACCAGGGTTGCTATGGGTCGGAATTGACTCTATGGCGCTTAACAACAACAGTAATTAAGGCATCCTGGTATGGTGCTGTAGAATAAGCACTGGACTGCTAACCAATGTTGGTGGTTCAAACCTACCAGTCGCTCCTCGGAAACCCTACAGGGTAGCTATGGGGCGCAATCAACTCAACAGTAATCAAAGCAGCCTGATACTCACAGAACAACAAACACGCCCAATGCAATGGAATTGGATAGTCAGGAAGAAAGCCGACTGATTCTGACGAGGGCGCTAAGTCCGTCCAACCGGGAAAGAACTCTCTCAATAAATGGTCCTGGGAAAACTGGAGTTTTCACAGACAGAAAAGTGAAACACGGTCCATACCTCACACCATAACAAATCCCAAAGAAAACTAAAAATACAAATAAAATTATAAGAAAAAAAATGCAGGGGCAACACTGCCAGGCTTAACTTTCAATAATAGATTTAATATCTAATACAATAACAGAAACACAAAGAGCAAGAGACAAAATAAATTCAAGGATCCTCATAAAAGTTTTAAACTTGTATTCATCAAAAGACTTTACCAAAAAAAGTGAAAAAACAAGTCACCAACTGGGAGAGATTTTCAGAAAACATATATCCAGTAATAATCTGTTGTTGTTGTTGTTAAGTGCCGTCGAGTCGGTTCCGACCCATAGCGACCCTGTACAGGGTTTCCGAGGGTGTAATAATCTAATGACCAAAAAATATGTATATATAAAACTCTGACAACTGAGCAACACAAAGACAAGTCAATCATAAAATGAGTAAGGGACTTCAAAAGATATTTCATCAAGCAGGACATTCAAATGGCCACCAAACACACAGAAAGACGGTCAATGTCCTCTGCCAGCCATCAGAAAAGCGCAAATCCAAACCACTACGAGATACCATTATACTCCTAACAGAATGGAGGATAAGATAAAAAAAAAAAGAAAAAAAACAAATGTTGGCAAGGACATACAGCAATTGGAACCTCTATCTATTTGCTGTTGGGAATGCAAAATGGTACAGCCATTGTGAAAAACAGTGTGGTTGTTCTTCAAAAAAACTTAAAATAGGACTATTTTTATAAACAATTCCATACCCAGACAGATAGCCAAAACACTTGCAAATGGAGACTCAAATTGATACCTGTACACCAATGTTCACTACAGCATTATTCACACTACCCAAAAGGTGGAAACAGTCTAAATGCCTATCAAAGGATGAATGAATCGACGCAATGTGGTCCGTATGTACAGGTATGAGCTAGAAGTCTTGATACATGGCACAGTATGGAGGGAGCTAAAAAACATGATGCTGAGTGAAGTAAGTCAAACACAAAAGGACAAACATTACATAACCTCACCTCTATAAAAAAAACAAGAGGGACAAATGGATAGAGACCAAAATTTCTTAAAGGTTACCTAGGGAGGGAAGAGGGTTATTGTGTATGGAGTATCAACTTGCACATTAGGTGATGAAAAAATCACATTGATCAAGGATAGGAGGGTACAGCTGATTAATGTAATTGCTGTCAGTAAGCTGTATACCTGTAAAAAGTTGGATGGCAAAAGTTGCTGTTAAAGGAAGGAAGTGGTTGACTTTGCAATCTAGGAGCGGAGGCCCCTGGATCATCAAGGTTGAAGAGCGAAGTGCGGGACCCTACCCAGAGAAGCAGTGACACCAGAGATGGACACAGATGATAACGTGGACAGATGCAGCAGCTGGGGAATCTAGACCCAGACAGAGAGAGGGGCTGTGTGCCGACGATCGGGTGGGGGTGGGGGGCAGGCTTGCAGGGTCTATACCCTTTGATTGGTTGATGATGCATGGAGGGGATTGTAACCACGGCAATGAGATGATATACAATAGGATGAATGTAAAACTAATGTTCTCCCATGTAAACTATCACATAATTCACAATAAAACAGTTTAAAAAAATTGTTGTTAAAATATTAACAATAACAACAAATACTAACAACAACAAAAAAGGAGTCACTGTCGAAGCTGCTTGTATACAACCAAATACCTCATGGGAGTTGGTTCCTCGATTTGGCCTAATAAGTTTAATGCTGTTTCAGCTCCCAGTTCACTGCATAGTGCCTGGGGTCTTAAATGCTTGCAAGCAGTCATTCTTGGCATAGTAATTGGTCTCAGTTTGCCTGGAGCAACCGAGGAAGACAGAGCGCCAGGAACAGGAGGAGGAGATGGACTGTGTGGCTAGTTGTCTCTGTCAACAACTGCCCCGCCCCTGCCAAGAGACCAGAAGAACTGGATGGTGTCTGCCTACCACCACTGACTATTTCACCAGAGATTCAACCGAAGAAGTCAGATTAAAAGAAGAATCATGGAGAGCAGAATTAATTTCAAAGCCCTCATGGGCTCTAGATTTCCTGGAACCATGATGGCCAAAACCACTACTGTCCTGAGATCACCTTTAAACTTTAAACCAAAAATATCCTCCGAAGACGTCTTTAAACCAAACAAGAGTTTAGCTTCACTAATTAAGAATGTCTGCCCTGAGCAGGGTGCTCTTTTAACAACTATTTATGTCAGATCAAATGGGCAATCTACTGCCATTGAGTCAATTCCCACCCATAGCGACCCCAGAGGACAGAGTAGAACTGCTCCTTTGGGTTTCTGAGATTGTCATTTTTTATGAGTGCAAACAGCCTCATCGTTCTCCTACGGAGTAACTGCTGGGCTCGAACTACCAACCTTGTAGTTAGCAGCCCAATGCTTAACCCACTGTGCCATCAGGCAACGTGAACAACTAAACAGGATGCTTGCAGTGCTACTGAGGAAGAACTAGGATAAGGCGGGTGAGCATGGTTGCACAATGTCACTGAATAGTGTGTGCAGAAACGGTTGAATTGATACATAGTCGGCTGTGCACATTCTAAACAACAACAAAAATATAGTAAGATATTCAAACAATAACCAACCACCACCACCTATGGAACACAGCCAGCCACTGGATTGTTCCTGGTTTATGAGCTGATCCAGCCTCAAACAGTCCACCTGTATATTCTCTGCCAAAAGACAGAAGCCAAGACCTTCAGCCCAGCAAAGCAAGCCCCCTTTTTTACCCATTCTCTTGACACATGTATGCAGTGCTTGGCCAGGCTCTAGAGATAAAAGGCAGGAACAAAACCTAAATGGTGGTTAAAGCCTAGCAAACAGCCTCACAAACAGATACAGTGAGGCAGTTGTTATGGAAGAGCACGGAAGCAGGAGCCAGGTGGCCTGGGCTTGACTCCGGCTTGTTGCTTTGTAAGCAGAGACCCTGGGCCAGTTCCTTCACATCTACAAAACGGGGATAGTGAGTTTCTTTCTCCTGTCACATCTGGCAGCCTCCCACTCCACATTCTTGCTTTGTAAAATACTTGTCCTCCTCCTTTAGGTGTGCCCTCTTATCCTCCGCCAAGACATCCGTGGACAAATTATTCTCTCTGCTCAGAATGCCCTGCCCTCCTCCGTCAGCATCATCATAGGGCCTCTGCTCTCCCCAGCACTGGGTCCATATGTGGAAACAGCCCTGAATCCAGAGAGCTCCGTGCTGTGAGCGTGGTCAGCAGCTGCAGAAAGCAGGGGCTAAAACCTTGGACTCCGGGCTTTACCCTTCACTAGCCCATGTATGAGGGGGCTTCAAAATTCCATGATTAAAAGATCATGGAATTTTTCCACATGCTTTTTAAAGCTGTGTGACCTCTGGGCAGGGTGCTTAATTAACCTCTCTGTGCCTCAAATTCCTCCTCTGTAAAATGGGACAAGGACGAAGTCAGACCTCACAGCAATGTTTTGTGAATTAGATGGACTAAGATGTGTAACATCCCAAGAACAACAGCCAGCATATAGTAAGCACTTGCTACATGTCAGCAGTAATGAATAAAGCCATTTCCCTGCATGTTTTCTCACTATAATTCCCCTGACATCCCCATTCCCTACCCCAGAGCCTGAAAACTCAAAACGCTATCAAGTTGCAGACAGTTAACATAGAGGAAGCCAAGGAGAGATGGCAGCACAAAACCCACAACCACAACCACAGCCACAAACAACAACCCCAGCATCAGTCTCAGTGTCGGGAGGGCAACAGGGCTTGGTGGGGATTGAAGCAAACTGGACAACAACACATGCCAGGGTACAGTCTGCGGCTGTCCCTCAGCGCCCACTGACTCTTGCCATAAAACACTACGAGTTCAAATTAGTTCAATGGACTACAAAACTACAAGAACGGAGCACAAGGGCATCAGGTGCAATGATGTGGAGACCCAAGAACTAGATGGCACCTGGCTATCACTGTCAACTGCTCTGAAAGGGATCACATCAGAAGGGCCTGGAGAGAGTGAGAGACAGTGTGGAAGAAAACTCAGAGTCATCAGATAGAGACCCTGAGACCATGACCCTTGTTTGGTCACTCTTCAGGTCTGGCACTGAATTCACCTCTGTGGCTCAATATTCAGCCAAGCTACAGACAACTCTATGTTGTTGTTGCTAAATGCCATCGAGTCGGTACCTACTCATAGCGACCCTATGCACAGCAGAACGAAACACTGCCTGATCCTGGGCCAACCTCACTATTATTGCCACGCTTGAGCCCACTGATGCTGCCCCTTTGCCAATCCATCTCGTTGGTGGTCTTCCTCTTTTTTTCTGACCCTCCACCTTACCAAACATGATATCCTTCTCCAGCAACAGATGGGTCTATAGGGAGGTACAACAATACGAGTGAAGCAGAGAGAGCCAAACAGTAGCATTCACCTAAGGACGGATTCAGAAGGGTGAGCAAAGGAGGAAGAAACAAGGAACACAGGAGGAAGCGGGATAGCAGACGTCACATGGAGGGGATTGCAATCAGAGATGAAAGGAAATGTATTGGATGTAAAACTGAAGATCTGCTTTGTGAACCTTCAATCAGTTCATAATGTTGTTAAGCGTTCTCGAGTCAATTCTGACTCATAGTGACCAGGTATAAGGTTTCCAAGGAGCAGCTGGTGGATTTGAACCACCAACCTTCTGGTTAGCAGTCCAGTGCTGATCCTATAGCACCACACGAGGACTCCAAAGAAAGCCGACGCCCAATGTGGGGCTCGAACTCACGACCCTGAGATTACCAGTCTCATGCTCTACTGGCTGAACTAGCAGGGCATTATAATTAATAATAATTTTAAGAAGTTTAAATTAAAAAGAAACAACTATGAATTCAGTACTGCCAGTTCTCGGAGTTTTCCAAGAGAAGCCAGATTTTGGATTTTTATGGTGAGATCTTCTCATCTCGACGGCACGCCACTACTCATGGGGCAGTCAAAGGCTTAGGAGCAGCTCACACTTACCATGGTAATGCCCAAGAGGGTTGGACTGACCAGAAACGCTGGGGCCACGACCACGCCCTGACTTCTTTCCCAGAAAGAGTAGAAGAGGTCTGCCCAGCAGACGATCCACAGCAAGAACCCCAAGGCCTGGAAGAAAAGCACATTCAAGTCTGATCAACTGCGACATTGAAATCCCCTGAAAAACAAAACAAGCCCACAGCCATTGAGTCCATTTCATCTCAACAGGCCCCTCCCAAAACTCAGCCCTGCGGCAGAACCAGCGAATCCCGAAACTGCTGGCTGGCATTCTAGGAAGCAGCAAGCACTCTGGGACACAAACTAGTCCTAGGTCTGGTGAGCAGCTACCTGGGCCATCACACCAGTTTGCTACCCTCTCCCACCCCCAGTATGACTGCCTGGCCCCCGAAAAGCCCATTCAGCATCTCTACAGTTACAACCCCAGCACCCAACAGAAGACCTCCACCCAATAACCACTCATTCATCTGGCCAATACGTATGAAGGGCCGACTCCATACCATGTACTTCTCATGGAGTCAAGATGCAGAAGTGAATGAAAGAGATAGTCCGGCACCCCTGGAATTGACATGCTAATGGGAGGCAGCATGAAAGAAGCTGAAAAACACATAGTATGATGCCAAGTAGTAATAAGCTTCTTCAAGAGAACAAAGAATGCAGCGAAGGGGATAAAGAGATTTGGGGTAGGGAGGTTTGGGGAGGCCTCTGTTACCTGAGTAAAGAGCTGAAAGGAGTGAGTATTAGGGCTGAAGAAGTATCCAAGAAGCAAGATCAGTCAGTGCAAAGGCCCTGGGGTGGAAACATGCTTGAAGGCTTTAAGAAGAAAAAAGAAAGCTGAGTGGATGCTATGGGATGAGCAGGAGTCGGTGGGGGGAAAGGAGATGTTGGAGAAGATCCTGGAGCCAGCTCATGCTAGAAAACTGTGGGGACTTTGCAGGTTTTATTGTGACACTGGAGGAAGCTATCAGAGGGATTCTGAGCCAGACAGAGACGAAATCTGAATTACATTTTACAAGGAGATACAATACAGGATAAACACTGAACCACAAGGTCAGTTTGAACCACAAGGCTAGCGGTACAAATCCACCAGCTGGTCCTCAGAAACCCTACACAGGGTCGCTATGAGTCGTAACTGACTTGATAGCACTCAACAACAGCAACATGCTTGGTAAGAGAGGAAGAAGCAACCCCAAATTCACTGCCAGCGAATCAGTTCTGCCTCATAGCAACCCTACGTGGGGATTCCGAGACTGCAAATCTTTAAAGTAGCAGACAGCTTCATCTTTCTCCTGCAGAGCAGCAGATGGGTTTGAACTACTGATCTTGCAGTTAGCAGACCAATGCTTATCCTAAAGTGCTTGGTAATTCCTTGAGATAGGTCCTACCATCCCCATTGTACAAATCAGGAAATGGTGTCAGTGAGAGAAAGAAATTTGTGGCAGAACTGGTATTTGAAACCCCAGTTGCTATCTACCACATTATGATCCGGCCTTGTAAAGAAAGGAATTTAGGTGAAGTATAAGGTGTGTTTTCATCTACCACCACACACCTACCAAGTACAGACACGCCCACCACAATGAAATCCCAAGGGACTTACAGTTTTGGTTTTGTTGAGATGCGTCATCTGAATGTAGCCCCGGTCATGTCGGGAGAGATAGAGGAAGTACAAGGGGAAGCAGGCCCAGAGGTAACAACATGGCACCCATACAAGAACGGTGTTCTGAAAGCACTTGGTGAAGTCAGGGTTGCTGGTATACCACGTAACATTCCAGTCCTGTGGATACAAAGAGGCTCAGGTCAGCGGGACATGCCACAAAGGGACAGAAGGTCATGTGGGGCTCAAAACCAGCTGCCCTGGGGTTTCAACAACAGAAAAGACCCTTTATCCGAGGGCCTCCGAGGCTGAACACGTGAACTCAAAACAGATCAGTAGCTAAAAAGACGAAGACACAAGTAAAAACAGATAAACGTGGGCCTCCTTTTATATAAGGGACATGGCAGATACCATTCTTTGTATGAAAGATGGAGACTGTCCTTAAAGAGGACAGTTAATGCTGATCATTTGTGAATGACAAAAACTTTAGTCAAATGAATCACCCCTACTTTACTGTCTTATGAAAGGCTTCTTATCTTCTACATCACCACCACCATCACCAATACTACCTACTTCACTGCCACCAGCATTGCCATGACCACCACCATCACTACAACCACCATCACCGTCACCAAGGTCGACATCACCACCACATCACTGTCACCACCATCAGCACCACTGCTACCTCCATCACCATCACCAGCATCAGCACTATCACCATACTACCTCCATCACCGTCACCACCATCAGCACTACAACCTCCACCATCACACTCCTACCACCATCACTGTCACCACCACCATCTCCATCACTGTCACCAACGCCATCACTGACATCATCCCGTCCTCCTTCCCCATCACCACTATTACCATCTCCACCCCCCATCCCCCATGCCACTCCCAGCATCATCTTTTTCACTGTGAATAACACCCAAATTGCCAACCTTTATGCCCTATTCTAAATACTATATACATCTATATTCTTATGATTCATCAGAGAGTAATTGTTATCATGACTCATTGCGACTGTCACAACTGTAAAGGTAAAAGTTTTGTAACAAAAATGGGGGAGTAGTTAATTTTACAGCACCATCAAGGGAGAAGAGCATGAGCGGAATGTGGGATCCTATTTAGAGAAGCAGCAACACCAGAGATGGAGGCAGAGATGAGGACATGGAGAGAGAGAGCAGCTGAGGGCTCTAGACTCATGGAAAGAGAAAGGCTGTGTGCTAGTGGCCAAGAGGCAGGAATGCAGAATGTGCCCTTTGGTTGTTTAAATGACTATATATTCCTGAGTGTTTTGGTGTACATCCAAAAAAAAACAGAATAGAAGCAAATACTGTTGAATGATGATGCATGGAGGGGATTGTAATTATTGCAATGAAACAAAATACGATAGAATGAGTGTAGAACTGATGTTCTCCCATGTAAACTATCACTCAATTCACAATAAAAACTTAAAAAAAAAAAAAAAGTTACAGAAAAGGAAAAAATTTATTATCTATAATTCTGTAAGTACATTTATCATCTCCATTTTCAGATAAGAAAACTGGATGGAGAAGCCACATTGTCTGATATCACACCGCTGGAAGATGTGCAGCTGAGGCAATTTGGTTTTGACGTCCTGAATTTAACCAGAAAGCAATAGAGTCTGGGGGATATTTGAAGGTTAGCAGCCCAATGCTTACCTCACAGTGCCTGGTAAATCCCTAAGCTAAGCCCTTCCGTCCCCATTGTACAGATCATCGGGAAGTAGGCCCGGTGAGGGAAACAAATTTGTGGCAGAGCTTACCTCTGAACCCATGTCTGACTCCATTGCCCCAGCTTCTATCTACCAGAGTGTTGGGAGAATTTAACTCCGTCCTGATCTGAACCACTGAGCAGTTATTCACTCAACTTTGGGAGAAGTCTCTGCCCTGTCTCAGGGTCTCAATTCCCTAAATCTAGCCCGGATAAGGCATCCTGGTGTGGCATTGTAGGATAAGCACTGTATTACTAACCACAAGTTTGGCAATTCAAGTCCACCAGCCACTCTTTGGAAACCCTACATAGGGTCACTTGCATCCGTACCGACTCAATGCCACTTAGCAACAACACCATTAAGATGAATAGCATCATTGTTGTTAAGTGCCATCAAGTCAGTTGCCACCAATAGTGACCCTGTATAGAATTTCCTAGGAGCAGTTGGTGAGCTCGAACAGCCAATCTTGCAGTTCAAATGACTTTTCAGACTGCATTAGCCCACAGTGCCACACCAGACTAGAAGATAAATCAATTGGTCCCATGGGCCAAATGCTTCCCAAACCACAGTGTGCTGCAAGCTCTTCATCTTTGCCAATCTGATAAGTGGAATATACATACCATGGTGCCTTCCTTCTCCATTTATTATGAATGAGACTGAAGAACCTTTCATGTGTGTTTAAAAGCCAGCCAGGTTCTCCTGTAAGTATCAAAGGAAACTTTGCAGACTTAAATATTTGCACTTATAATTGGGACAGGTGTGCCTGCTCTCTCCCCTCAGGGTAACAACCTCCTGTGGCTCTCTATTGCTTTGTAGAGTAAATTCTTGCTGTGGCCAAAAAAGTCATCCACATTCAGGCCTTGGCTTTTTCTCCTACAGCTTCTCCCACCCAGTTTCCCAAATGTGTGTAGTGTAGATCGGCTCCAGAGGGTTTCCAAGACCTTTCAGAAGCAGATCACCAAGCCTGTGGTCCAAAGCATCTCTCTCTGGTTAGGTTTGAACCTCCAACCTTTGAACTAGTAATCAAGTCGATCACTTATGCATCTGTGCCACCCAGGGACTCCTGGTGGCTGCTAGTAACAGACACTAACAATTGACAGCTGTCAGCTCCACTACGACCAGCACTGCCCAGAGTCCAGAAGTTTGAAGGACAATATGAAAAGCTCACGTTAGGAAATCAATCACAGGATGCTGGGGGGCATTTAAGGACATAAAAATTCCGGGAAAGGTGTTGATCAGCGAAAAGCTTACTGAGGAAGCAACTTACTCTTCAGAAGGAAGCCGGACATTGGAACAAGCCCACTTCCTACTCAAAGCCCTGCCCAGCCCATCCATCTGTCCATCTGCACAGGAAGAGGGAAGGTGGGAGGGAGCAGGAAGGGAACTTGACCAGGGGAAATTCCACGAGGACTTTCACCACTCTAGGGAACAGGCAACCCAGCCACACCTGTCACAGGCAGTTTTGATGCATTTTCTCTAAAGGAAGCCCCTTGATATCCCAGGAGGCAGGACCACCATGTCCCTTCTATTTGTGGGCTCTAGGGGATGTCCAAAGATGGGGCCACTGGGAGGCATAAGGAAAGAGGTATCACCAAGCATCCATCACCAATGCTCCAACTCAAAGGGCAGTAACGAACCCCGCCAAACGCAAGGGACAAGCCAAAGGTCCAATTCTGTACTGGTCCAAACCAGCTGCCACTGAGTTGATTCTGACTTACAGTGACCACGCAAGACAGAGTAGAACTGTCTGTCCCATAGGGTTTCCAAGGCTGTAATCTTTCCAGAAGCAGACAGTCACATTTTTCTCATAGAGTAGCTGGTTCCAACTTCCGATCCTTTGATGAGCAGTGAGCATTTAACTGCTCCCTACACAGACTCATCTGCTGGGAAAAAGCAGTTCAGCCCCAATAGACTTGAATCCTGAAAACGATCATACCTGCAGCCAGGTGCAGCTCTTCAGGAACCTGGCCCCAAGGAAACCATATCAGGGAGGTTTGGAGAGCACACAGAGCACATACAGACACACAGACAACAACACGCATCCGCAACTCCCCCACTCCCCACCAAGGTTTCTCTTCACAGGACATCTCTACTGCTGTGTCCCCTTCTTATGTTCCCTTGGACTCAGCTTTGAGGTTCACAATCTGGGGAATGCTTGCCTGGAGTTTTGCAGTTCCTAATGTTTCTACCTTATCCGTCCCCTCATGTCCTCCTCTTTCTGGCTGAGTATTAACAACTAACCGTAATAACACCTGCAGGGCAGGCACTGCTCTAAGTCTTAGAGAAACACTCCTGGCTAAGTGCACAATAACCAAGCACTGGCACTATCATCTTCTGACGCTAAGGATGCGTGACATCAGGAGACACAACTCCTTGGCCCAATGATGTGCCACTGTGGGCAGATGTTGTCCTCACCCCATGCACACACACATTCCTCCTTCTCTGGCAACAGCCCCTGACTCTTATTGGTAAACTATTACTCCTCTTAACTCCTCTACTCTGGTTCAAGATGACCCCAATCTTAAAAAACTCCCAGGATGGGTCCTAATTTGTCATCAGTCAATTCACAGGGCCCTTTCTCTACTGTTCTGGTGATCTGGCACAGGATAGAAGCCAACAGAAACTTCCGTGACCCATGACATGGTTGAGGATGTGGGTTGGCGGGGGTTGTAGCCATCTGAAAGAGAAGCACCAGGATTTGGGAGGGACAAAGGAAGGGGTTTTTCAACCATGGAGCGCGTGAGAATGAAGCTGACATAGTAAAAGAGGCAGGGATTGGAGAACTGTGTTTGGTTCATTAGGGGCTGCTGGATCAAGCTACACCTGCAGCCCAACCCATCACCACTGAACTTCTTTAATAACTTCTCTTCATTCTTTTACACCAGTTTGAGAAGTATTTCCTCACTTATAATACAAAAAAGGAGCCCTGGTGTCTCAATGGTTAAGCACTTAACAGCTAACCTAAAGGTTGGTGATTTGAATCCAATAGCTGCTTTGCAGGAGAAAGATGTGGTTGTCTGCTTCGAGAGAGATTTACAGCCTCAGAAACCCCACGGGGCAGTTCTCCTCAGTCCTATAGAGTTGTTAAGAGTCGGAACTGTCTTGACAGCAGTGGAATGGGCTTAGTGGTCATGTAGGTCCCTGGAAGGTGCAAACAATTTACACTCGACACTGTAGGATCAGCACTGGACTGGTAACCATAAAGTCAGCAGTTCAAACCCACCAGCTGCTCTTGGAAACCTTATACAGGGTTGCTATGAGTCAGAAACAGACTCGAAGGCATACACACTACTAACCCAAAGGTTGGCGGTTCAAATCCACTCAGCAAAATCCCTGGATAATGCAAATGGCTAAATTGCTTAGCTGCTAACTTAGGGAAGTTCACTCAGAGGAGGCTAAGAAGAAATGCCTGGTGATCTGCTTCCTCCCAAACTCAGCCATTTAAAACCACAGCCATGAATTGGATGTGACTGAACCACATTCACTGAAACTGCTGGGTTTCATTTCATTTTTTAGTGTTATGTATCACAGTAGGAAATGGCCTGAAGAAAACTAAAGGAGACAGAACAATGGTGAGTGGGTAGGTGAGTACCCTTTATATTGTTGTTGTGTGCCGTCAAGTCGGTTCTGACTCACAAGGACCGTGTGTGTACTGTTGTTGTTGTTATGTGCCATGGAGTCGGTTCTGACTCACAGGGTTTCTGAGGCTGTAAATCTTTACGGGAGCAGAAAGCCTCATCTTTTTCCCGCGGAACAGCTGGTAGTTTTGAACTGCTGACCTTGCGGTTTGCAGCCCGATTCATATTAGGTGGACAGAAAATGCTCTACTGCCAAAAGGACTTGTAAACAATGACCTGCAAGAACTGAGGACGCCTTTCTGTCTTCTCCTAGTTACGCCCATAGTAAGAGAGTGAGTTTATTCCATTTACCAGGGGAGTGTGCCAGGCCAGTATAAGAGCTTTACATCATATGCAATCACAAACAACTCTGGGAGGCAGGTACTATGATTCCTGCACCCATTTCACAGATGCAGAAACTGAGGCAAGTTGTATTTTGTTTTTGCATATGCAGCCAGGAATTTGGATCCTTTCTGCGAGTTAATGCGCTAGACTACAAAGTCATTTGAACTACAATGTCGGTGGTTC